CAGTATATACTGTATATATATATAATGAACAGTACCTGTGTTGTTGTCTTTGACAAGTTCAGCTCGCTTTAGTGCTCCTTTCTTTGCTTCTTCATATTGCCGTTGTTCAGCTAAAGACTTGTTAAGCACTTGGCTGAGCACACAATCTCCTTCTCCAACAAGAAACATGGTTTTAAACTTGTTATACAACATGGTGGCTTTGTCCATGATGTCCTGGCTGGCTTTGAATCTCCGAATCTACAACAAGGACAAAATCAAAACGTTCCACTTCAATTATTTCACAATTTAAAGAAAAGCAGGAGTTTTTATACTTTCTGATTTGAGGGTCTACCTTTTTTAATGTTGCAATAAGTTCACTGTGTTTCTGCAGGTGCTGAGTGGTGACTTGAAGAGTGCTTATTTCATCTAATGCATCCAAACACTTTTTAATATCCTTAACAGGCGAGGTCAGAGAGGGCAAAGACAAAATTAATTGCATTAATGGAAGAAATGTATAACAAATATTTAGGGCACCAGGGTTAAAATAAACAAAAAGCAAAGCAGAATGTAGCAAAAATGTAGAGATGCAAATAGTTAGTTTCATTAACTGCAGAAATCCACAAATATTTCTCAAAAGTCATCTTTCAGTCACAGACTGAAAGAGAAAAGATGTGCCTGTGAAAGACATATTTATTTTATGGTGTGCCATTGATTAGGGAAGCTTACAGGGTTGTCAATTTTCAGTGAAATTCTGATTGCACTGTGGAGTTTCTGGAGTTTCAAGTCAGTTGACATTTCTGGGAATAAAAAGAAAATTAAATAAATAACAAAAACTTAAAACTCATTCAACTAAGTTAAGTCTCTGAACATCATTTAATGGCTATTTTACATTAGTGCATGGTTTATTTACCCTTCTTCTTGGGTGCTGTCTCTGTTTTCTTCACATCATCTTTGATCGGTCTGAAAAACAGGGAGAACCACACGACATCAGAAATATATACTGTATATTTAAAAACTGTATACTCTAAATAATTATGACTTTGGAAAAACTTCACAAGAAAACACTTCCTGTCTCCTAACGTTCTCAATTCCTGTCACCATTTATTTTTAATTGTTCCAATGTTGTACTTAAATCCAATTAACTTTTACTAAAGCTGTATTTTGGGAAACCTCAGGTTCTTGATGTAAACTTACTCTCTCGTTTCATCTGCCTTCCACCGCCGCACGTCTTTGTCCATTTCTGAGTTCTGCAGTTTCTTTCTGCTTCTGTTTTTCTGAGACTAAAACAAGATCATAAAGGTGACCCAATTAAAAGAATACATCTGCATTATTAAAAACACTGGGAGCTCTGCAGACATGTAAAGCTACTCGTGCTTGTATTTGCGTTAAGGCTTGCCTCGTCATCATCAGAACCAGAGGAGCCGTCATCCTTGGACTGTTTTTTCTTCTTGGCTTCAGGCTCTTTGACCTCTGCATCCTTCCCTTTGCTGCCTTCCCTCTTCTTTCTCTTTTCTTCTTCTACACTTTGCTGTTTGTCTTCTGGTGCTCGCTTCCTCTTTTTGTCCAATTCATTTGAGTCTCTGAAAAAAGCAACAAAGAGCATGTTAGTTCTCCAATTTGCTCATGATTTGTTTTCAATTTTGAAATACAAGTTGGACAAACTTGATATATTTTATATTCTCTCTGCAGGAACAAGTTGTCATATGTATTTACTTACATTTCACTTCCAGAGCCTTGCTGCTCCTGCTGCTGAAGCAAAAGCAACTTCTCACTTTTGGGCTTCCTGCCTCTTTTTTTAGGACCTTCTCCACCTGATAGATGGAAGCAGAGCAGATAATTCAATGTGTACAAAGAAATGATACTGCTCCAAATCTGTCATTAAAACACACAAAATCATATGGCTAAATCCAAGTTGCCAAAGAGTTTGGTGCATTTTCCCATGATGAAGAATTTATTCATTTTCTGCAGAGCACAGGCCTACCTGAGGGACTAACAGGACTTGCTGGAGCCTCATCTTTGTCATTCTCCTGGTCTGAAACACTCTGAAAAAAAGTATTCAAAACACTTTTAAAAAAACATTTCCTATAATCTTATTTGAACTAGCTGTTGGCTTTAGAAAGATTAACAGATTTAAAGACCGTAGCCAACCTTTTTCTTTCTTCCTCGCTTGGATTTGGAAACATCTGTTGATTCCTTCGGGTCAGAACTCTAAAGTTTGAGGGAAAAAAGAAAGAAACAAACAAAACAAACCATTATTTGAGCAGATCTCAAATTGTTGTTCAGTGATTTATCAACAGGAAGAGGACAGGCTGGAAACAAACACGATGAACTAAACACTTTAGTCAAAGCTTATCTTGGAGTTTGAACCACAGCACCCTCTAGTGTCTAAACTGGAGTAGTGCGCTCAATAAATATTAAATATGCAAAGTCTGCTTTTGTAACACTAAAACTTTTAAGATGACAAGAAAAGGGAAATTAAACTCAATACTCACCATTAGTTTATGGGTGGCCTGGTTATTTTTAGAAAGCAGTATCAAGAGGAATGACATAACTCNGTTTAAAAGCAGGAAATGGAAAGCACTAAAGTAATCTCAGAAAATGGTAAAGCAGAAAAAAAAGGACACACATACTCTTGTAATTTTGATGAAGCCACACTTAGATGTGTTTGTGGCACAAGTCAATGTGACCTAGTATTGTTTTTACTGCTCTCACACAATGACAGACCTTTGTGCTTCTCTGATAACAACATTTAGTTTACTGACAAACACAAATCTGTTTGGTTGTAAGTCACCCCAGGAGCACTGAAGCAGCAAACCCAAACCAGGCACTCCAATCAGACCATCAAGCAGAAACAAAACGCTGCGACCCCAAACGATTACTTTGAGTCAATCAGAAGTGAAACCACTGATTGAAAAGCCACCGAGTGCAGCATGCTTTCCCGCGAAAAAGGGGAACAAGACGACCTGCGCTGCTTTATGGCATCCCAGCATGCAAAGTACGTACATCCTGGTTCTGAAGGCCCTGCTCAGACATCAGAGACCCTTCCTCCTCCTCCTCCTCCTCCTCCACATTCTCCTGCTCAGCCTCACTTCCTGGAACCTGAATGCACCCAAGACACAGCATAGGACGCAGTGTGGCGGGGTGAGCGAGTCTTGAAAGGGAGAAAAGTTAGCCAGTATTCTTCTGATGCACACACTACTCTCTGCAAACAAGCCTGTTATTTCATTACCAAAAAATAAACAAACAGCACTGCTCATAATGGAAACTAAGGTCTGCAGTGACATGTGGTTTAATATGTGACAGACACGTGTTACAGGAAGCCTGGAGAAGCAGCTAAAAAATAAAAGAAAAAATAAAACAAAGAAAGTGACGACACAGGAGCAAAACAGAAGAGAGTCACTGCAGTGAAGCGACTGTTTACAAGAGAGCGACCACGAGTAAAAGAACACAACTTACATTGGATTTTACTTCTTTATCAGCTGCTTCTTCTCCTTCTGCGCCGCTGTCCGAATCCTTTCCAGTGAAAGACTCAGGAGGAACCGGCTGGAAAAAAAAGCTCCTTGATTAAATGAGATAACTGCACAACGACACAACAGTGCAGCTCTGAACATCTCCAGAGATGTTCTATTTAGTCAGTGTTTCACAAACCTTTTGCTACTTTAAACTAGTGCAGAGCTCCTTTTACATTTTAGCTAGTAATTTGCTCGTTTTTGCTTTAAGTTAGTATTTTTCTCCTTTTAGCTTGTGTTTTGCTTATGTTAGCTTTAACAATGCAAAGTCATTCAGCCCTTAGCGTGCAATTTCTCTAGTATGCAGATGAGGTTTTATCCAAAATAACGAAGCCACGGCCAATTACTAACTGGTAGTTAAATAACATTTTCAACAAGACACTCCAAATAAGCATAATACAAATTAAAAGCAAACTTAAATGCCTGCATATGAAACTTTAAAATTCAATTAAAAAAAACAGAAATGAAGAGGTTAAGAGTCATCCCAACCCCAAAGCTTCAATCCAGATAGTTGTTAGAAGAATTCTGACCTTAGGTGCAGTGAGTTCAACTTTTGGGTTGTTTTCAATCTCCCACAACCCTTCATTGAAGCCTTTCCTCTTGTTGGGCTTTGCATACTTCTCTTTGTTTGGTAGGTATGGAAAGATATCTTTTGGACCCAGGAAAGCTCTGTATGGACAGAAAGAGTTTCAGTGATGCATATATACAGTATATATATAAAACGCAGCAGGTTGAGGATGAAGAGCAACAGCATATGCTGCCAAAACAAGGCAGTAACTCTACAGACACACCATGTATTTAAATCAACTTATTTATACATATACACAATCGTTTTTAAAGGCGTAGCAGGTGTTAAACCTCCAGGCAAGGCAGCATATACACTAACACAATGCATTCAATTATAGGTTTCTTTCGCCACTCATCTTTAAGTGCTGTGTATGAGCAGGTGTAATGTTAACTTTCAAACCTTAACAGGAATAAATATTGGTGTACTAACGTTTCATGGGTACCAAAGAAGAAAATAGGATACTTGATGTTAGATGGTTTCACTGCACCATCTGGCACTTCATCAATCTGGAAAAAAATATATATAAAATAAAAACAGGAAGCACATTTGGTATTTCATTTTCATATATTTTGTGTTTTTAATAAGCTTACTCTTGCAGGCCAGTGAGGATAACCCTTCATCTTAGCAAATATAAGATCTCCCGGCTTCCAGTCTTCTCGAGCCATATTAAGCTGCAAAACAAAATACAATCAACATGACTATAAGAAGGCAGAATGCATAATACGTGTCAGTAAAACAGGTTTAGTGAGACAAAACAAACTAAATACACTCCAATATCGCTCGCTATAAAGTGAAAGCAAAGTCAACATCGATGTTGTTGAGCATCAGCAGACATTTTAGCTAGCTCCTACCAGTTCATTATCAATAAAACTGAAGTAACCGCCCTTCATTTAACTATACCGTATTTAGAGGTGTTGTAAAACGCAGGGTATTAGTTGCAGTTAAGTAAACTCATTGTTATTTGAACAAGAAAACACACCTCTCCTTTTCCGCACTGTGAGTCTGTCGCATGCATGTTTTTCCGCTCCCGCGCAGGACGTAGGTGGACTCTACCATCACAAGGCGGAAGTAGAGGGGTTCTTGAAACAAAAGAACACGTTCCGAACATTGATAGCTTTTATCAAAGTGCCTAAAACAAATAATTTAAGAAGCCAAAAATTAAACGTCAAGTACCAGATGAGCTAGAGTGTATTAGTGGTTTAAAAGGAGATTTAGATGAGTGCTCTGAGATAGTCTTGCCGCTTCAAAGATCGTCTATGAAATGAGATGAGTTGTGTCCGGATAAATACTCACAAATCAGCTTTCGTTTTCAATAAAGTTCAGCCAACATTTCTATATAATAGACGGAAACAAGCATATACCAAATCCACGGACCGTAAAAGGTACGTTTTGTTGCAATTTTGGTGATGTGTAATATATAACTTGTCGCATCCGATATATAAAAATGATCAGAGTGGGAGCTCTTCTTCTGTTTGTTGCTTTGTCTTGGCAGTGATGCTGATGATACTCTGCACAGTGCGCTCTGTGGCTCTGTGCATCGTTGCGAACTATTGCGTGTAAGTATTGATAAGTTAGGGCTTATGCACGTTTTCTGAATCGCCCAAAATTAAATCTAAAAGCAAACAGCAACAAAACTGTTTAATCTAGTTTAATCACTGCTGTAGTCATTGAAATATGTTGTTTTTAAATCAGGAAACGTCTCCAGGCAGCAGCAACAAGGAGCTGCTTGAGTTAGAATAATTTGTCCAGTTACTTCCTAGTTTATTTTGTGCGTAAAACTTTTATGAAAGCATTTATTTACCAAAATTACAGGTGTTCATAGACAAAAGAGGAGTTTTTATTTCTGTTGCTGACAACCAGTCTAAAAAATAGATTGTAACAATTTAATTAGTAATAAAATCCATCGGGAAATAAATAGCTAAACATTCTTATGTTTTGCTCCTGAGGACAGAACACAAAATTACATATAAATATTTCTCTACTATTCGTATT